TATGATTCTTAAACTTGAAATCAGGAGACCTTGGTTTGAATTTTTGTTCTATCACTTTCCAGTTGAATGGCCTTTGTCATGTTTCTTAATCTCTCACAGTATTCACTTACCCATCTATAAAAATTACATACCCATTGTGAGTTGAAGGTTAGATGATATATGTAAAAGTGCTTTATGAACTATAAAGTACTACATTAGAGTATTATTCAAAGTGTTTCTACAGAAGTATGAATAAATGAGATTAACTGTAGAAATCATACATCAGACGAATTTCAAGGGGAATCTTTCTCTGCCATATGTTTAATTATAAAGCCACAGTAAATAGCTGGGTACTGGTACAGGCAAAGACTAGTCAGTGAAAGAGAGGGGAGTACAGAAAAAAGAAAATGAGGAATTTAGTGTATGATAAAGACGGCACAACAAATAAATCCATTGCACTATTTAATATACTGTTTTGGTACCACCACCTAGCTCTTTTAGGGGAAAAAGCTAGATCTCTATCTTATTACAAAATAAATTACAGTTGAATCAAAGATAAAATTGATAATTTTGGCTACCTAAAAAATTAAATCTATATGGCAGTAAAAAAAAAACCTAGATTATAAACAAGGTTGAAAGTCAAATCTCTTTAGAGAAATATATATAAATGAATGACAGGCAAATTTTAATATTTTAACAAGGAAAGAATTTTTTCCCCTAGATTTATATGAAAACACAAAGGCTCCAGTAAGAAAATGGGCAAGGTCATGACCAGGCAATTCACAAATGAAATTATAAAAATGACCTATTACTATAGGGAGACAGATTAAATCTTACTAGTAATCAAAGAAATGCAAACCAAAATAATAGTGAGATATCACTTCTTACCTATTGGATTAGCAACAATTAATAAGATTTACAATGCATAGTGTTAATGCTGTAGGGGAAATAAGCATACCTATGCATACTTATATACTGGTGGTAAGAATGTAAACTGGGGCACTTCTGGAGTGCAATCTAGAAATTAAAATAAATGTTAAAAATGCATAGATCACTATATTGATATAAACAAATGGTTGAATTAGTACATGGAGAAACTAGACAAACAGAAGAATTTCAAATATTCTTTAAATATTCAAAGCATAACTTGTTACTCCTCCACTTCTTATGTGTGGCCTGTACATAGTGTCTTTCTTGTAAAGAATATAATATGGAAAAGGGAGGGAGTAACTTTACAGTGTAGAAATCTGGCCAACACTACCTCAGCCAGGTGATCAAGGTCAACAGTGGTAAGTCATGTTGATATTATGTACCCCACTTCATATGATGTAATGAAAATGACCCTTTTCCTCTATAGTCTTCCTTCTTAAAACCCCAAACCCCAGTCTAACCGTAAGAAAAAACATCAGAAGGCCTCCAATTGTGGGACATTTCTACAAAATACCTGACTAGTATTCCTCAAAACTGTCAAGGTTATCAAAAACAAGGAAAATCTGGGGAACTGTCATAGTCTACAAGAGCCTAAGGAGACATGACAACTCTATAATTTGCTATCCTGGATGGGATCAGGAAACGGAAAAGAACATTAAGTAAAAACAAAGGAAATCTGAATAAAATACAGAATTTAGTTAATAACAATGTATTAATATTGGATCATTAATTGCAATAAATATACTATTGTAATATAAAACGTTAATCATAGAGGAAACTGGGTGTGATGTATATGAGAACTCTATATTATCTTTGCAACTTTTCTATAAATCTAAAATGCTTCTAAAATAAAATCTTTATTAAAATTGAAGAAATTTAAAAATCTCTAGAGAGAAATAAAAGCATAAACCCTATATTCTGATAATTCTACTTCTGGGAATATGTCCCAAGAATATAATCACTCAGGTGTGCAAGGATGTATCAACAAGACTGGTCATCAGAATATTGGATATAATAGTGAAAAACTGGAAACAATTTGAACATCTGTCAACAGAGGACTGGTTAAATAAAATATTGTACCTTTATGCGCTATAATACTATTTAGTTATTTAAAATGGCGTATTTCTTCATTGATATTTAAATACCTCTATGACATATTTTTTGAGAAAAAAGTAGTAGTAAACAAGCATGTATAGTCTTATTCCATTGACAGAAAATTATATGTGTTTGTGCATGGGTGATTATGCAGTTTTCATGAAAAGTACTTGGAACATCAAAATATTAATAGTGGATATATGAGTATTGAGATTTTGTGCATATTTCTTTCTCTTTATATTTCTTGAATGCCTTGACTTTTCTACTTTTTTATTATCTTTACAACAAAAGACAATACTAAAATTATTTTCATTTTGATAACACTTTATACATTACAATTTACTTTATAGACCACTTTTGAGAGTAATTCAAGAATAACAAATTAGATTGTATAATTTTTTTGTCATTGGGATTGGGTTTTAAAGACTTACTGAATATCTTCCAAATGTGCTGGTAGTACTTTTGAAAAGAAACTTAGTTTATGTTTTTCACATTGCTGAATATGTACGTTGTGCTTTATGCCTTATGCCGTTTCTCTCCATATCAGTCTTTTGCAATTTTACATATGCTCTATGAAGGATGCGCTGACCTAACATATCTGATCTGTCTGGCAGGAACTGAGTGACCTCTTTAGGGCTGAGGATGTCTCTGGCATCTTGCTTTAATGACAAATAGTTGGGTTCTAATTCCCTATAATGAAGCTGGGATTCTCAATATACACACTTACAGTTTGCTCCCTTTTATTAGACTGGGTAAATAGCTGAAACATTACATGATGTCTTTGTGTGGATGTGAGGACTTCATTATGAATAACTGTCCTCACACTGGCCTCCTGAGATGTTTGTCTCTAGTATCTTTGTCAAGAAATTTAAGAATGTCTCTTGAAGTGTTAATCACAAGAAAATCTGTTCAGATTTGCATGTTGCCCTCTGCCTGAGACAAAGGTACTCACAGGCTCTTTGTATTTGTCTGTATAGTTTGTATTTGTGTGTGTATTTGTGGGGCCCAGCCTTAGAGTAGTATTACTAACCCAAGCACCGATTATTGCATAAATCAGCACCTTTCAACATCTAAACTGTGTGGGCAGTCAATCGTGAAGTAATTCATTACTAATAACAAAGTACCAAAGTTTTTAAAAAACTGGCATTTTTAAATAAATGTGAATAAATTTAAGGATATTCTTTAAATACTAAAAAAAAAAAAGAATGTCTCTTGGTTTGAAGTCTAAACAATGGGCTCTCATGATGCAAATGATATAACTAAATATTCCTATTGATTTTTAAAGAGCAGTTTGGGAAGAGAAAGTAGGAAGTTGGGGAGGTGGATTACTTTGGTAAGCCTAAAATGGAAGTTTTATGTGCATTTCCACATTTTCTGGAATATGCCCTAATTCAAGTTTTAACCCCTTGGCTTTCTTCTGGACCACGGTAATGAGCTTCTAACTAGCCTTACTGTGTGCAGGCTCTTCTCTTTATAGTCTGATTTTTACATTCGGAACATGAATCTGTCAGATCCTGTTTGCATCATTCTGCCTCTAGCTCAAGACTTTCTCTCTACAAGATAAAACCCAAACATTTTAGCTAAGCACATTCTCCTCTCTATGCCTTGGCTCATATTTTAGCTGTGGTGTGCCCTACTCATTCTAAAAGCTAACCTGAAAAGTCATCTTTTATAAGACGCTGTCTCTGATCTCCATAATTGGATATCATTTATCCTCTTACCACAAACTTACATCTGCGTTGCTCTCATGTGACATACTCACTGCATACCTTATATTATAAATATTTGTAAGCTTGTTTAACCTCCCATGTTAGACTAACCTCCATGAGGGCAGATCCAATATCTACTCCACTTTTTGTATGTCCACAGCATTAGACAGGATTGATGTTTAATAAAAGTTTATTGAAGGAACAGGAGGCTCCCACTTCTGACACAATAAACTGATGTTCCCCAATATTAACCCTACCTCTGCCTCCTGGCCTGGATTCTGTTCCCAGATTATTCTGATTCAGCTGTTTATTCTGATTAAACATTTAAATAATATACTAACTTCCCTTGCTCTAATTTAATGCTCACCAAGCACTTTTCTCAATACTTGGCTCCCAGTGTAGTTTGCCCCTAGGGGAAAAGGGTGTTAAACAAGTAGATGATTCAGTCCCCCAGCCATGATAATTCTCATTATAGTTTAACTCAGTGGTTCCCAAAGTGTGGTCCCTGGACCATAGCATCAGCATCACCTGGGAACTTGTTAGAAATGCAAATTCTAACTACTGAATCAGAAACTCTGACACTGGGGCCTAGAACTCTATTTTTAATAAGCCTTCCAGGTGATTTTGCTAAAGTTTTAGAACCATTGGATTAATTTATAATCTTAGGAATCTTAGAAAACGTTAAGGGTAAGTGAGCAACCCTGAGATTGTTCAGCTCTGACTCTGCAGGGCTGAAGGCCAAACCCTGGTCTGTGATGATAAACCAGTGCTAAGGGTCTGCTTGTGAGGTTTCCTGGTAAGCAGCCTGGGGGCCTTTTCAAGTGAGAGCCCAGGCTTTCTTTGTATATTTTCTATGTTGATCATTGAACCAAAGTATGACATTCTCCAAACTATTTTAATATGTATTTTAACACCTACTACCTGTATGTTTAGTTGGATAAGAAAAAAGGAAAGAAGGCAAAATGAAAAGGATTTAAAAAGACAATCTTGAGGGTAGGAAAAATGCTCAAATTGCATAAACAATAGACTTCCAATCTTTGAAGTCATAATCATAAAAAATGTTTACTCATGACCTAAAACTTTTCACTCATGATGTAAGAAAATATGAATAAGAAAAGTGTATAAGCAAATTGACTTGGAAAAAGCACAATGAAACACATCTTTCACCATTCGGGGAGGAGAATATGCAGAGAGCATCTAGGAGTTGCAAATATATCACAAAATATTAGGTTTATTATCATAATTGTTTTATGATATAATAAAGAGGAAATGAAAATATTAACTTACCTCAGACTCAATTTTTCCACTCAAAGACCTATATTCCTGTATAACTTGTGAACTTAGCTCATCACTGTATTGAACATTTAGGATTTGAAAGCTGCTACGGTAAAAGTAATATTTTTGCCCTGTAAAACAAAGAAAAGGCAGAATCAATCTCACATTACTAAGTACTTTAATCTGTATTTTATGCAGGATTATGGGAGGCTATGTTATACAATTAAAAAAATTTTGATTCCCTTGAAAGTAAGCTCTAAACTTAATATAATGTAACTATAATAAAATTATTTTTCTTTCAGTTTTTAAAAAGAGTGGCAATGCTGGAACTGTTAAAAATGCATGAAAATCAGAGCAGCATTATTTGAGAAATTAAATTGTTCAGTAGTATCATAATTTTCATTCTTACTATATTTTAGGGAGATTTGTGATTACAGATTTATTCATTCAGGAAATATTAATGTCTATAATATACTATTATTCATTTATAATTAAGGAATAAAGTAATTCTGAATAGTTTTAAAAATTATTTCAAATACTATTCTTTTTAGAGGAATTAGTGACTTATTGGTTCTCTGGATTAAGCTAGAAAATAACTGTTCTGACAAGAAAGCTAATATGGTTGTTCAGTGTGAACCATTTCCATCAAAAAGGGTCTTCCAGTGGATATATTAAGCTATGTGAAGGAAATAAAAATTCCTAAAACATACTTGTCCTTACCTTAGAAACATTATGAACATGGACATAACCTAACCTGTCTCAGGAAAAAATTCCATGCTTCCATTTGATCATTCATATACATAATTTGTTCAGAGAAATGCCTCAATCAGGGAAAGCGTTTGAGATCCTGGGGATAGGGTTGTGTGGTCCTTTGTGGCAGAAGGACAAGTCTTTCTAGGGCCATAATTGGTCACTGGTATACACTTTGAAGAGGACTTATTTAAGTCTTCGCCCTTTGTGTTTAAGTGTGGCAATACAGTGCTGTTAAGAGCAAAAATTCATTAGTTTAATCTGAAACTTGATGTTTGTTTTTCCCTCTTCCGTAATTCACCTTGGACATATTTGTCTCTAGGTGATTTGATAGCAAAATGTAGTCAAAAGCAAAATTTAGCCACAATGTTATAATTAGATTGACTGAAAAGATTATTCCTAGTTACTGGAATAAATAAACTTGTTCTTGCTCAGTCTCCACACTCATACATACCCATATGCCTTCACACTCTGCCCCACCCTGCCCCAATGATTTAAATAATTTAACAGGATTATAGCAAAATTAAAAAAAAAACAAACTCAAAGTGTTTTTTCAGGTGAAGGAAACAGATTATAACATATATTATCTAGTGAAATTTGACACATTTTATCTACATTAAAACATCTGAAAGAATATTCACTGAGATGTTGTTTGTGAATGAGCAGGGTATATGGATTCTTTATATTATTTCTTTGTTTCCTAGTTTTATGATGTAATGAAAAATTAAAGAAACTAAGAGAAAAAAAAGGAACAGAATCCTTTTTAAAGTTTGTTTTTAACCTCTTTCTACTTCTTAACTTCAAATTCATCTCCTATCATAATTGTTCTGCTCCTAAGATTATTTTCGGGAGACAGGTCGTGAATTAACAAATATCTAGATACATCCAACTTTTAGATGTTGAAACTTAAGGTCCTTTGCAAATTTTAAATGAAGAAGGAAATCATGGTATTAATGAACAAAACAAGTGAACTCTAGCATCAGAAAAATATTGAGTTTTTTCCCTTGGCTAGAATTATTCTTGTCTGGGTTTAATGTTGTTTAGTGTACTAAAAAAGGCCAAAAGAAAAAGAAGAGAAAAAATACTGAATTAGAGAAAATATAGACATGAACATATATTCAGGGGTATATGAATAAATATATAATTATGTTGTATTAAGAAATAGAAGTGGCAATAAAAGTGAGAATGCCAAACTTTTAATCTGAAAGTATATTTAGTTAATTCATCTGAAGAGTGGTATATCCAATCTTCTGGTACTTACCAAAAGCTAAAAAGTAGACAAGTAGACCTGTGGTCACTGCCAGGATCGCCACAACTGCGATGACAACAAAACATACTATGTATGGATTCACAGATCTTGAGGCCGATGGCACCCGTGATGGCCTTAGAACAAGGGAAAAGATCAAAGGCCACTCATTTCACTCAGAGAAGCAATCATTTCAGCTCTCATCATCATTTTCTGCCTTCTGAAGTCTCTTAGCTTGCACATGGCTCTATTATAGAAAACCGATTGTTTCTTGATAGGAATATAGTTCTGGAAATGAAATCTAACTGAACAACACTCTCCTTAATGGTTTTTCTTTCAATTTTTTTTTCAGCACTAAAATGTTGACATTTAGATAGTTTGATAGAAGAATAAGGAAATCTGACCTCAGGTTTGCAATTGCTTTTCCTTCTTCTGCCAGTTGATGAAGTTCTCAAGAATAACAACTATTTCTGTTTTACTACAACTCCTTCTAAGACCCTATGTTGGACACTACTGTAGTAAGCTCCCTTACCTGGGCACCATCCTCAGGGATGTGCTGAAGAGAGATCATTTTGGGTGGGGAGAGGGGTGGAGGGAGTCAGACAGTAGCATTTCTTACTGTAATATTCTCCGGGTTATTAAAATGGGGATATGTCTAGAGGCTGAGAGCTGAGATCCAGGACAGTAATAAGCACCTGTAATTAATTAGAACTGTACCAGCAGCAGAGGATTTGCGTAATTTTTTTCACCCATGAAATCATCAACAGCAGTGTAAGCCAATAGATTTGTACTAACAGTATCTGGTATTATATTAGGCATATAATCCAAGTACTTCCTCACGGCCTCTCTCCCTACCACACACACACTCACACTGGGGAGGTCACCAGAAGAGCTGAATGTGAATTCCTGTTTTATCCCTTGTTTGCTTGTAGATCATATTGTCATTTATCTGAGATTTTCTTCATCTGAAAAAATGGGAATAATACTTGCCTCACAAGGCTAATTTGAAAATCAGTGAGGTTATATTAAGTGTATAAAGTATGTATTTCTATTAAGTAGGTTATCCACTAGACTGTGAGAACCTTGAGGATAAAGATGGTATTCATGCATATGTTTCTGACAGTTTGTAGGGTACCTGGCATGTATAGGTGGTCCATAGATTTATGATATTTATAAATATTTGTTGTATGTGTTAACTCCTGGGTGTGTTTTAGATTTAAAAGCCTTAACAGAACTGAAAAGCACTTACATTTATCTAGAATATAGTCAGATTTCCATTTTTTCTATTTGTTTTGCTAACATTCTGGTATAAGTGAGAAGGGAATGCTCTGAGAGTCAGTGATTCCCAGACTTTAGTTTTCACAGCAGGGTTGCCTGATATTTTTTGGGCTCTACCCAACTTACATACTGAGGAAAGGGCATCTCCTGGTATTTTACATTGTACCACCTGCACATTGTATGCTATGGCTATGGGACCATTATCATTTCAGAAGATTATTGGAGGTGGACATAGACTTTCCAACTTTCAATTTTGTTGAATAAACACATTAAACATTACAAAAATTGACCACACTCAAATATTATTTTTTAATAAAAGGGAATTTAAATTGATAAAAGTAGGAAGGACATAATCTCATAATAACAAATTAGATGAATAATTTAGCTCTAGCTTAATGATGTCTTTTTACTACACTGTTCTTATTTGTTCATTTTGCTATGCTAATCAAAACTGACTTTCAGCGACACTGGTCCAGAGTCCAACATTTGGGAATGACTAACTGTAGTAATTTTCTAGTAGGATAAAATTGGCCCATTGACATTTGCTGACTTTTTGAGCCTCAGTTTACTCTTCTGTTTCCTACTGGGTTTGTTGTGCCAATGACATGTGGTCACAGTTGCACAGTGTTTGGCATTTGTAAGTTCAGTAAATATCAGTGGGTACTCAGCAGGGGAGAGTCAAAAGAAGAGCTGGAAGCAAGCCAACCCAAATAAGTTTCATACTGATTGACCCCCTACCTCAACAACAAGGGACTGTATCAATTTACATTCCCTCCGACAGTGCAAGAGGGTTCCCTTTTCTCCACACTCTCTCCAGCATTTATTGTTTGTAGATTTGTTGATGATGGCCATTCTGACAGGTGTGAGGTGATACCTCATTGTAGTTTTGATTTTCATTTCTCTAATGATTAGTGATACTGAGCATTCTTCATGTGTTTGTTGACTATATGTATATCTTCTTTGGAGAAATGTCTATTTAGATTTTCTGCCCATTTCTAGATTGGGTTGTTTGTTTTTTTGATATTGAGCTGCATGTGCTGTTTATAAATTTTGGACATTAATCCTTTGTCAGTTGCTTCATTTGCAAATATTTTCTCCCATTCTGAGGGTTGTCTTTTTGTCTTGTTTATGTTTTCCTTTGCTGTGCAAAAGCTTTGAAGTTTCATTAGGTCCCATTTGTTTATTTTTGTTTTTATTTCCATTTCTCTAGGAGGTGGTTCAAAAAGGATCTTGCTGTGATTTATGTCATAGAGTGTTCTGTCTATGTTTTCCTCTAAGAGTTTTATAGTGTCTGGTCTTATATTTAGGTCTTTAATCCATTTTGAGTTTACTTTTGTGTATGGTGTTAGGGAGTGTTCTAATTTCATTCTTTTACATGTAGCTGTCCAGTTTTCCCAGCACCACTTATTGAAGAGGCTTTCTTTTCTTCATTGTATATTCTTGCCTCCTTTATCAAAAATAAGGTGACAGAGTGAAGTAAGTCAGAAAGAGAAAAACAAATACTGTATGCTAACACATATATATGGAATCTTAAAAAAAAAATAAAAATAAAGTGGTTCTGAAGAACCTAGGGGCAGTACAGGAATAAAGACGCAGACGTAGAGAATGGACTTGAGGGCATGGGGTGGGGGGAAGGGTAGGCTGGGACAAAGTGAGAGAGTGGCATGGACTAATATATACTACCAAATGTAAAATAGATAGCTAGTGGCAAGCAGCTGCATAGCACAGGGAGATCAGCTCGGTGCTTTGTGACCATCTAGAGGGATGGGAGAGGGAGGGTGAGAGGGAGACCCAAGAGGAAGGAGATATGGGGATATATGTATATGTATAGCTGATTCACTTTGTTATAAAGCAGAAACTAACACACCATTGTAAAGCAATTATACTCCAATAAAGATGTTTAAAAAAAAACCCAAAAAACAAGGGAGTGACTGTATTTCCAGAGGTGAATAGAAGTATCAAGATTTATGAGTGTAGAATGAGAAGTTACTAAAACACAAGGCTTAAGTTGGAAGCCAAAATACCTAAAAGCAAAAACCATAGGCTAGAGTCAGCATATGCTTTAGCTTGGATGAGCCTCCCATGGGAATGGCTTTAGAACCAACCTTGCTTCAGTTCATGGAAAACATATTAAACCCAATGGCTAAAAAGCACCATGAGACATGTGACTCAACAAACAAAGGGTGTGGAGCTCAAATTACCTTAATCTCAGAAGCCATAATTAATTACATAAGAATAGGTTGTTCCACCTTGTAGAAACTGCTGAAGAAATATCTGCTCTTGTTAGCAGTGCAGCTTGTCATTGAACCTCTGTATGTGGCTGATTATAAAGCTTATGCCAATACACACTAAATTGTGTACAATATTTGCTCTGCAAACTATTAGAGAAAATATATTTGCTAACACTGTCTGAATTTTGACTCATATTCAGTGGAAATCTTCAAGCAAATACTTTGCTTTTAAAGCATGATCCTGATTAGTAAAATTTTTAGTGGTTGTGTTTAAACAGCAAAACAAATATGCAGTTGTGAAATATTTAACCAGCTTCTGCCTCCTCCTTTCTCTCTCTCATTGACTTGGAAAATTACATGAATTTAGAAAACTTATTCTGTGCTCTTATTATGAGAACCTAAGTGTCAGACTTTTTACATGCTTATTGCCTATCTTCATAATAGTCTTGTAAGATGGGTATTATGATCCCTATTTGGAATATAGGAAAACTGAGCTTCAGAAAGTAAATAACTCAGGAATGACAGAGCTGGAAATAGAAACCAGGGTGGTTAGAATAAAAGAACATGGACTTCCTCTGATGTAGACTTCCTCCCTCACACTATAGAGATGGAAAAAATTTTGGGACTCCTATCTCTTGTGACATCACTTGGAGGAAGCAAAGGGAATCAACATCTATTGAGTGCTTATTAAATTGAGTGCTAGGATTTTGTTCTTACACATAGTAAATGTGCAATAAAATAATTGTTGATTTAATTTTAATTTGAAATTACAACTTACATTAATATATCAGATTTATGTAGGAATACTAGTTAACTTCTGCCATTGACACATAGTTAGAAGCAATATATGGTTGTGGATTAATAGAGTCACTTGGCAATAACTTTTCATTATTTGTAAGAATAGAGGAAAACAGAGACAGGGTAATTGCAAATTCAGATATACATAGTATGTCTGTAGAGGACTTTTAGACAATTTTGTGTCCATTTCAATAAGATTTCAGGTATGATAGTAACAAAGATTTGGTCCATGGTTGTTTTCTCCTGATGTGTATTCTTCCTCAATGATCCCATCCTATGCCCTGGTTTCAGCAAACATATAATAAGGTAATACTTTCTAAGATAGATCTTCAGCCCAGACTTCTGTCTTTGAGCTCTACATCATTATTTTCAATTATGCATTGGACATCTTATGGATGTTTTAGAACCTCCTTAAATATAACAGTTCAGTTCAAAACTGAACTTGCTTTTTCTCCAGCCTGCACTCATGTCCCACTATTTCTAATATTGGTGAATGTCACTACCATCTGTCTGGTACCGTTAAAGATCCAGGAATTAGCTGTACCTGCTCCCTCTTGGTAAGTTCCCACATTCAAGAGGTCATTGGTGCTTATACCTACTGCCTAAATCTTTCTGTCCATCACCTCTATCTCTTTCTTAATTCTGGCTACTATTATTTTGTATTATATGAAATACCTCTTAAATGTTCTCCCTTCTTCCATTATCAAGAGACATTTGGTGAGTGCCTGCAATGTTCTAGGAAAAATTTAATTTCTGGGAATACAATGAAAAGAATCATAGCACTCCTAATAATGGGGGGAGAGAAATGAGTAAGATAAATAAATAAAATAAAAGAAAAAAAAGCAAAGGAGTAGGAAGAAGTATAAGTACGGGGTACTGAAAATTTAGATAGAGTGGCCAGGAAAGGCTTTGCTGAGGAGTTGACATTTGAGTAAAGATCAGAAGGAGGTGAGTGAGCAAGCCATGAATATACCGGGGGAGAATTATCTAGGTGGATAAACAGCAGTTTGAAGGCCCTGAGCAAGGAGCTCATGTGGTAAATTTGAGGACCAGCAAGAGAGACAGCTGAACTGGAGTGGAGTGAGAAAGTTAGGGGTGGTGGATACTGGAGGAAAATAAGGTCAGAAAGATAATGATCAGGGAGTCAATGGTTTGGGGAAGATCACCTAAGGCTTTGAAAGTAAGGACTTTGGTCTTTATTCTCAGTGAGACAAAGTCTTTGAGGGTTTTGAGCAA